GTTTGCGATGCGAGAAGAACGCTCAATGTCAACTACGGTTTTCCCTGAGCCCGCGAGACGATCCATCGCTGGGGGGGGGACGCATTTGCTCACAGTCGGTGGCCCAAAACGCTTTTTACGCGTTTCTTTCCCCCCCACCTCCTCTGTTTTTTACGGTCCATGAACCGAGTTCAAGAGGAGGGATTGACAGCCCTCCTTGGTGGCTCCCGGCGTGTGAACGCACTATGGTTCCCAGGCCTGCAACGTCTGTTGTTGGGTCGCCGTGGAACTGTCATGGAGGAAGGATGCTCTCCTTCAGGCAGGAGGAGCGACCAAGAGTTACCCAGAAATAGGTCAACACCGGTGGGTCTGACCGCTGAGCGGTTCCACTTAGAGGATGGGTCTCCCTCAGGAGATAGTGTGCACAATTCAAGATTCACGTGCTGCATCTACCACAGTTCTGTACACATCAAGGGGACGGCTTTTCAGCGCTGGTGCACAGAGAAGGTTTAGAGACCACCTCATGCCTTTTAAGCGGCGTGTTGTTTTTCTACAACAGCTGATGGATAGGGAGTTGGCTTTCAGTACGCTTTAACGTACGATTGCAGCCATCTCTTCCTGCCACAAAGGGTTTGGAGTCAGAACAGCTTTTATCACCCGCTGATGAAGCGGTTTCTAAAAGGTGTACAGGGATGTAGGCCTGTTTTCACGCCCACTTGTTTTCCACAGTGGGTTTAACGCTGGTCCTGCGAGCCCTGATCAAAGCTTCAATTGAGCCTCTGGATCAGGTTTCATTTAAATTCTTGTCTCTTTTAACAGCCCTGTTGCTGGTTTTAACACCCGCTAAGAGGGTAAGTAATTATCTGCCCTCTCTGTTGCTTCGTCATGCCTTAGAATTAGGCTGACGGGCAGCTCAGCTGATTTAAGACCAACCCAGCTTTTATGCCTAAAACATCACGAGCTCTTTTAAATCAAGAGTGATATCGTTGGAGGGGTTTTTTCCCCCCCACAGATCAGAAGAGGAAGCATCTTTTCATCTTCTCTGCCCGGTGCGGGCGTTTGACGTGTTACATAACGCACACAGCTGCAATGCGTTTCAAACTCAACAATGGTTTGTGCATTATAGAGATGTTTCTACAGGTCGCCGTTATCCATCCAGCGCTTATCACACTGGCTGTGTGAGGCCTTTTCTGAAGCCTACAGAGCATCAGATTTAGAGCCTCCTGTCAACCTCTAAGCACACTCGACCAGGGGTATCGCATCTTCGACTGCTCTGCATAATGGTTTGTCAATGCAGGACATTTGCACTGCGGCTGCATGGTCAACACCCTGCTCATTTATTCGCTTTTACCTACGTGATGTAACGGCTCGTTCCATGACACATTCTGTCCTTAGTGCTCTAACAGAATGAATATTGTTGTTCTCATGGAACTCTGTTTAAGCTCACTTCTGTCTGCATGCATTACAGTGTGAGATGTTGTTATCAGTCACAAGTCGTGTCTGTGATTTTGGTTATATTGTCACTAATCAGTTCATGATTATTGTTACCAATCAGTTCAATTGATTTATAATCAATTTATGGACATTAATCTGTTTATACTGTTCAGCCATGAACCAGTTGGTTCATGCCCCCCCCCCCCCCCTCTTTTCAACTTCTTCTTCCCGTTGAAAGTTTTCCGGGGTATTCATGCTTTGTCAGAACGCATAGCTACACAACATGCGTCTGTGCATGGCACATAATTACGCGATGCGTAGTTATGCACATGGGGAGCTGAGTGACAAGACGTTTTTTGGGCAAGCTTCCGCTTCTTACTGTGTTCGAATGGACCCAGTGAGGCGAGGACCACATCGGCTTCGCCCTTTACCCACTAAAGCGAAGGCCTTAAAGGGCGAAGCTTATATGACATAGAACGTTGGTTACGTACTGTAACCCCAGATTCTATGAATATAAGCGTAGCCCTTTAAGCGTCGGGCCTCACTGGCTCCTAAATGGCTGAAGAAAAAAGCTATTTTGGGAGCCGATTTCCCGCTCTTAACGTAATTTATACGGACCGGGTAGGGCCCACACAGCGGGTGGGCGTGGACTAATTTTTTTCAGTGCTTATGCTCTGCATAACGGGATAAACCCACTAAAGCGAAGGCCTTAAAGGGCTACGCTTATATTCATAGAATCTGGGGTTACAGTACGTAACCAACGTTTTTCTTAGACATTTTATTGTTGGATGTAACTGGGACCCCGTGTACATAATTTCGCTCCACCACATGTACCACATGAGGTGCGAATGACAATAAAGAAACTCTGACTCTGACTCTGTTCAGTGTCAGCCAGGAGGGCTGTAATTAGTTATACATCAGGGAAACTAAACAGCTACTGGCCAAAAGGATGGCCCAGCACAGAAGAGCAACATCATTAGGCCAGGACTCTGCGGCCTACACTCATCTCCAGGCCAGAGGTCACTCTTTCAAGGATGAAGATGTTCACATCCTTGATAGAGAAGAACATTGGTTTGAGAGAGGAGTGAAGGAGGTCATCTTTGTGAAGATAACTTGTACATCTTTAAACGGGAGCGGTGGCCTTTGTGTTCAACCGTCCCCCTCTTACAATGCTGTTATTGTGAATATCACTCAGCCCTCTGTGAATAGTAAGTGGCCATCAGGGCACTAACAGTAGATCATTAGGATGATGGTCCTCCTTTTGCATGTGAACAACTAGTTTTGGCTGTCACCAGCAAACTGGATGATCCACAATGAAAATGTACTGGTTATAAAACCGAGTTTGTTGCAGCTTCTCAGACTGAAGAAGTCTTTTGTTTAAAAGATGAAATGTTTCAACAAAAAAGATTCTGTCCAGAGGACCTGACCCAACCTTGTAAGAGTTAATCATTTATTTTCATTTAAGCAATTGGACTTCACTGATTCAGTAGCTGGTGTTTGGTAATGGGTGTACAAGATAAATAATATGAATAACCTTTTCAGTAAGCTACTTCTTGGGTTTATTTCCATTCAAAAATAAAATAAAAATATTAAAATAAGGGTTACGCGAACACGATGATTATATTTAAAAGAACCAATCAGCTGGTGCACAACTATAAAATAAAAATAGATTGATTTAAACAAAAAGAGGCAAGGTGTGCTAACCTAGACTGCAAAATAGCTAAAATGCTTGTTTGTCGCAGTGTCAGGTTAAAGGTGAAACAGCACAGTAGGTTAGTCATAAACAGGAACATCTTTTAGTTTATAACGGTGTCATGGTTAAAAATTAAATGTTTCCAATGTGACATCATTCGATCAATCCAAGAGTACAATTGAGAACTGTACCAGTACAGATTATTTATAAAAGGTTTGGAAATCTTTAAAAACATCAGGTATTAAACGTTTGACAGCCTGACCAAGATAACTAAACACAACTGACGATTTTTATTTCTCATACTGGAGAGCTAAGCTAACATGCTAGCAACGAACCTTGATTCTAATTAGAAAAGCAACCAAACCATCAACTTACCCGATAACAACAAGACCAAATATGTTCACCTATATAGTCAGATATAGGGAATAACACGTAGCAGTATTTCTGTATAAAAAACAGACCGTATTTCTCACAAAATAAACAACGCGACGGCAAGTTAGCTGATATCCATTACTTCCGTACAACCAGAAGTCTCTGAAGAATGCTACTGGTAGCTAGCGGTTTACACGATTTCTATTCCGGCGCACGTCACTTCGTGCTGAGTAGGCGGAGTCTGTCAAAATATGCCAAAATGCGCCTTTTACATTCAGAAGGCAAGTCCGGTTTTTGTATAATCATGCGTTGACTTAAAAAGGAACGGAGTCAGTGTCTTAAGCAAGCAGGCGATGCATTTGCTTGCTGTACGAAAATTAATGGTTAGATTGAAATTCACCTTTCAAAAAATGTACAAACTCTTACTTTTATCCTTGATTTTTTTTTACAACAGATATATACGTTATAGAATCAATATCAACACGGAAGCAACTTTGGTTGTACATTTAGTTTTTAATCGTCCAATTTGCAGTTTGTGAGCTACAATTGACAAAATAACGTACTCTATAATAGCACAGTAAAGCAGCACAATCAAAGCTTTGGAACTGGATTTTTAATGCACTCAAATTAATTTTAATAAAATACAAATAATTGGATAGTCTTTTATTCACAATGATCTAGCTTCTATTTTACCCTCTTGATTAGTAGCTAGTATTAATGTTAGGAGCAGTGCAGCTACAAAAATTTTCTATATTTGTATTGTTTCAATTTAAACGATAATGAACATGTACACAAATATAAAAACAATTAACAAGTCTTTTCAGATGATTTTTTTAAATAGGAGATGTGTATCTTGTAAACCATCATTCAGTCATTTATAAAGTACAGCAAATATATTTTTGGAAGCAAAAAGAGTACGGTATATAAAATGAAAACAGCTTCTTATGTGCAAGTAGTTTACATTTTACATCATTCAGTATAAACAGGAGATACAGTAAATGCATTTCATTATTTCATTTGTTATAAAATTACACAATATTAAAGAAAATAATTTTTTTTTGATGTTCAACTGATAAAATATAATACAATAAAAATACATCCTCAAAATGAAACAAGTTAAAGGTTTTTACATTGGCTTGAATTTAATGAAGCAGGCACAAAAAGCTTGTAATTAAAAAAGAAATGTATAAATAGCACTTAATGAGTGATAAATTTCTATCCTGTATAAAGTGCAATCTTTCATCTAAAACAAAACCTGCAAGCAAAACAGTTTGGAGATATCTAAAGAAATAAATTGTAAACTACAAAATGGTTGATTATTTCAGACTTTAAGAAATCTTTACTGTTCCTGAGATCTTTATATAATCTAATAACACTTATTTAAAACCTTTTGTTAATCCCTTTGTTTCCACTTTCATCTAATGCAAAAAGAAGATGTAATAAATACTAAATGGTTTTGGTTTGTGTTTCCCTGAAACAATTTGTTGCAGCCAAACCTACTTAAAAAAATAGAAATTCTTAATGATTTGTCTTATTTTGAGTATATATTTTATTTAACGTTCTGCTTTCATATTCTCCGTCTATCAAACATCACCAAAGAGGTTTGTTAGCGAGGGGGACAGTGATCGGTACCGTCCACCAGTGGATCTGTGGAGGCAAACACAGAGTGAGAGTAAATAACAGAGAGACTGCTGGGTGTATCAGGGCTAAACATTTTCTATTTAGTAAAGAGCTTACCTTCTGCTTGATAAACCTTCATCACTGAAGTCGTCTTGCAGTAAACGTGTGTGCTGTTCTTCTGCACTTCCATCTCTTCTGTTGACTGTAATCACAGAAGCAGAGATGAATAAAAACAAAAAGAGACTTTTCAATGAATGCGAACACGAACATTAGAACTTAGAGAGTAAATAACACTTAGAACTTTGTGTAAAGGTAGCAGTATTTTAAATATTCAAACCATCTGTGTGGCTCTCAGGTTTGTTCTGATCCTCCTTCAGTTCTGCATAACCAGCTTTGGTCTGTCCTGTGGCTGCTTGGGTTGCATATCGTTCCCTCCAGGCCTAAAGCAGGAAAACAAAACATACACAAAAAAATCAAACAGAAACAAGAAAACAAATTGAGCCAAAAGATTAGGGGGGGCATGGTGGCTCAGTTGGTAGAGCTGTTGTTTTTCAGCTTCTCAAAACGTTGCTGGATTGAATTCCGGCTGGGGACTTTTCTGGGTGGAGTTTGCATGTTCTCGCCGTGCATGCGTGGGTTTTCTCCGAGTATTCTGGTTTCTTCCCACAAACCAAAAACATGCATGTTAGACTAATGAGTGTAAATGGTTGTTTGTCTCCGTGTGTCCCTGTGATGGACTTGCGACCTGTCCAGGGTGTCCCCTGCCTCTCGCAGTGACTACTGGATTTGGGCACCAGCGACCCGTTGAGGGAATGCGTATATATGCATGCACCATGCTCTATATATCTTATAGTAATATAGACTTTATACTGTTACTGGGAATGATATTAAAGGTTTCCTTGATCTTTCCTCTATATTATAATCAATGTTGATGCATTGTCAGAAAAGAGACAGCGAAGAGGTCATCTTTATTATGGTTAAGGTTTGATTGCTATCAGATTGAGATCAGAATTTTATATTTTTTATCTGATTTCAATCAGTTGATTGAGGTCAGATGACTCTGCGGTCGTCAGGTGTATCAGAGATGGACAAGAAGCTGAGTACAGGGAACTGGTGGACCGCTTTGTGGCATGGTGTGGAAACAATCATCTCATCTTGAATGTGAACAAAACAAAGGAGATGATTGTAGATTTCAGGAGAATCAGGAACAGGTCCAACCCTATTTTCATCATGGGAGAAGAAGTGGAGGTGGTGGAGAAGTATAAATACCTTGGAGTTCACCTGGACAATAGACTGGACTGGACATGCAACAGTGAAGCCGTCTACAAGAAGGGACAGAGCAGACTGTACTTCTTGAGGAAGCTGAAGTCCTTCAATGTTTGCAGCAAGATGCTGCATATCTTCTATAAGTCTGTTGTAGAGAGCGCTATCTCTTCTGCCATCATCTGCTGGGGGAGCAACACCAGAGCAAGTGACTTAAAAAAGATCAACAAGCTCATAAAGAAGGCTGGCTCAGTTCTGGGGACTCCTCTAGAACTTTTGGAGATGATCGTTCAAAGAAGGATTCTTCATAAAATGAAGAACATTATAGAGAACCCTCAGCATCCTCTTCATCAGACTGTCATACAACAGAGTCAGAGGCTTCTTCAGATCTGCTGCAAGACAGACTTCTACAAGAGATCCTTCCTGCCCACAGCCATCAGCATCTACAACAGCTCTTTAAAGAAACCAGGATGATGAGTTACAACAACATGAAATTTCCCTCTGGGATTAATAAAGTAGTTTTGAATTGAATTTGAATACGGTAGACACAGCGATGTGTTCCTAGAGGGCCCTTGTGAGGTTCTTTAGTCTTCCACGACACCACTATGTTTTCTGTGTGCAGCTGCTTTGATAACAGCTTGACGGGGAGTTGGGGGGGGGGGGGGGGGGGGACTGGCACCTAGGAGTTTTTATAAACTAAAATTTACTACAGGAAGCCAGAACGGGTCAGAACCTCAGAGAGGTGAAGGTATTGAGAAGTGTGCACTTGTAAATGCATTGAATTCCTGTGATTGCCAACTCTTCTCCAAAGTTTTGAAATAAATAAGAAGTCTACACCTGATCTCTTTTTTCCACGACAACCCCCATGACACGAAAAGGAATAGGCGAGTAAAGATAATGAATGGATGAATGGAATGCATGCATGAAAGAAAATTCTAACCCATCTTCGATTTTCTCCGTCCTCTGCTCTCTGTCTTTTTCTTCTTTCTACAAAAAGAGCAGATTGTTAAGCAGATGGTTTAAAGTGTGTACAAAAATATTAACATCAAAGCACATCTTACTGCCAGCCATCGATCTGAGATTCTATTTTTAGCTACTGTCTTTTTAATGAGCCTCTTTTCCTGAAAGGCACAGTTCAAGCTGACAGTCTGATGATTGGTCAAAAGTAAAATGGAAAAACATTTGAACCACAAATGAAGCATTTCATACACGAGCGTCTTCTTTGGGAATTAATATTTTGGTTTGGATTTTGGTTTAACATTTTAAATTTGCTTTTTTTTTTTCAGTACATATCTTACAAGCTTAATAAAAAGTAAAAAACATTGAACAAAGTCCTCTTTGCCCTGTTATTGTTGTAAAGACTAATATAATGATCTTGCAGTATATAAATTAGTCAAACTAAAAATGTGCCTATGGTTATTTAATGGTAAATAAAATTTTATATTATGCTAATTTTATTACAAATAGGAGAAATTTATAATCAGTCAAGTTTACATACCATTCTTCATGCTAAGGCCAATCAAATCTAGATTTTCTGAGCATCAATATGAAAACAATATGAGCTCCTAACTTTATGGAAACATCTTTTAACCAAAAACAACCACAGTATGTTAACGAACTTGGACTAAATTTACCTCTTCTGATGAGTTCTTTGCCTTCCTCCACCAGGTCAGAGGTCAAGTCATCATCAGTAATGTACTGATGGAAGCCCAGGAGGTTCAAACAGCGGGAGCCCAGACTACAAAGTAATCCAAAATCACATAAATTACAAACCACTGCAAAGAAAACGATGGTCCTGATGTGCAGTGTAAAAACTAAATTTCAGCCAATAGCATCTTTCTGTCAGTAGCCCAAAGATGTGTCTTTCTTGTTGGGGGAAAAAATAAGTAATAGTTTTTTGTATTTTTTTCTTAACTATATTGTAACAAAAAAAAAAGTAGAACAATATGTTATTTTATGCTTATTTTTCATTAATATTATATTATACTTTAATTATCACAGCCAGGATTTCAGAACTGAATACAGATGTTGCTGTTTGGAAGCTTAACATTTGATAAAAGCATATGTTTTATAACAAATTATTCCACAAACTCTATAATGGTAATCATTTTTAAATTATATCAATAATTTTGGTCAAAGACATTTGCATTGACATACTAACAGCTCATTTTGCAAACCCAAAGTTTGATATAGACAGAACCATGTTTGAATGTAGCCTTCACAATGTATAAATGTTATTGTTGTTTAGTTGTTTACTTGAAAAATGTGGCAATGCAGAGCAGCAGCACCAGCATGGGGTAGTAGATGTAGAACCCATCAGATATGACAGGCAGCAGCCGCATGGAGCCCATAATCTGGCATGGAAACAAAACAAGAGACTGTCTTACTATGTTTAGTTTTAACACAAAGACATATTTTATCAAATATATTCTTTAAAGAAGTTCTGTTTGTTGGTATGTACAGCTGTGTATGTGAACCCACAAAGGTGTAAGATGTCTGGATTCTGTCTTGGTGTGAGATGGCAGAATCCATATGAATCAGGCCAAGGAAGTTTAGACACAGTGGAGGAGTCAGACGACAAAACAGCCTGAATGAAAAAAAAAAGAAACTTAATATGTGAACTGAACACAATGTGAGGATACCAGTATCACATCTGCTTCCTCTTCTGATTTTTATTTCGAACTCTTTTTCCCCAGTAGGATCAAATTTACGGTATATAAACTTAATAAGCTCAAAAAGATGTAAAACTTAACCTAACCACTCTGTACAACATAATGTTTAAACTAAAATAAACATTTTAAATGATTAAACTAGCAGTGCATTTTAAAGCAACATTCCATTTATAATGTGACATTTTTCATTCGATCTGTGTGACGGACATACATGCCACTGAACTGCAGGCTGTAAGCATCGGTCTGGTGGTGTGGCACCAGGTGATAGTAGTTAAAAAATCGTATCCTGAACACTGTGGAGTACACACACACGCACATGAAGAGGATGCTAATGAAGCACACCATCTAGTGGGGAGGAAGAACAACAAAGGGTAAAGCAAAGACAACACAAAAGCTTGATGGAAATTATATCAAAATTCTAAAAAGTTTTCAAAAAGTATGTTTACCTCAATACAAAGGTAATTGTGATGCTGTTCAGCTTTCTGAACAAAGACAGCAAACAGTGAGAGGACAGGGTGTGTGCTGAAGAAGGTGCATTCAGACCAGACAACTGCTGCAGAGAGGAGAGCCAGGAGCACCGACAGAAGCCTACAGATGACCCGTCTGAACACACACTCCCAGTACCACTCTGAGCAGGACAAGCACACACAAACACTGGTGACTCATGAGGTTTCATGCTCCTTTGTTTAAGTTTTAACCTTATTTACAAAAACTGAAAGAGACAGCATTAAAGTGGACTGAACTCACCTACAGTTGGAGTGTAGACAAACCTCCTGATCCAGCCGCTGTGGGCTGAAGGGAAGCTGTGGGTGAAGATTCTGAGTAGGCTGGTCTGGCTTTTTGCTACATCTTCTAGATGAAAGATCTGATCTACCAGGATGGACCATTGAACCTGAGTCTGACTGTGTCTCTGCACTGCAGAGATGACCTAAAACAAACACAAGTACATCTGTTCTCCACATGATTGCAATACGTTACGTTTCTTTTTAAAGATCCTTGTTTAGCAAATCATTACTTTTTTATGAAGTTTAATTAAGCCACTTTTAGTGGGAAGTGAAATGTGTTCACGTTGAGAGCTGTCCACATTTCTCCCCATCTCTTCCTGGTACTTGACAGGACACTGAAAGAAAATTACATATAAACAAAGACTTGTTAATGTAGCATTAAAAATGTAGATGGAAAGTCAGGATGAGCAATAAAGACCAGCATGTTTGTCAACAAATGTCCTTGTGCAGTTCTCACCTTTGTCAAAATGGTGTCTATGTGTTTCTTGAAGATATGGTTGAATCTGACTGACTCGTGGACATCAGCAACTTCCTAAAAAATTGACATATTTCTGTTTAAAGCAAAAACTAAAAGCCATATCAAGCCAAGTTAGGGGTGATACAGCAGTCATTGGTGCATGTATTCTCTGTTCTGTCATGCATTTTCTGCAGAGTACACCTATCTAACATCTCACCTCCATAACATCAGCAAGATTCTCCTCAGCCGATGCCTTCTCAGTTGCCAGTTTTGCTACTTTAAAGTAAGTCTTGGCCAGTAAGAATTCATGGGAAGATGAGAGCCAATAAGAACGTGGTATCTCCACTAGGCCGTATCCTAGCAACAGCACCAAAAGGAACAAACCCCAGGTATTGGCAGCTGTGATACAGATGGTCTGGATCTCTGTCCTGTATGAGTTTTAAAAGATGATCAACACACTGGCACAATTACAGCTTAGAAAACATAACTGCAAAGCTACACATACAGAAATAAACATTTAATCTTTTTTTTAAATATTTCTCATACTCTTGACATACCATCTGAGTTTCCACTTTGGGTGAGCAGCCACATAGATCAGCAGGAAGATGAAGATGAGGAGGTAGGTGCCATAATAAATAGCATTTTCAATGAGAGCTGTTTTAATTTTTCCGACCCTAGAAAAAGCTCCTGACTGCGCGTAAGATTGCATAAATGGCAACAGCAGCCTGGACGTTCACACAGAGAGGAGAGAGGAGTCAACACACCACAACTTTTACTAAAAGTCAACGTACTGCAGCTACGGTAAAAGTTTAAGTGTCACGGCGTGTTCATGAGTTAATGGCATGTGAGGTCCTGACCATGTGAGAAACTGGGAAGTCCAGTAAACTACTCTCCAAAAGATGGGCAGCACATCATCTGGAATATAACTCCAGGGCTTTTCACACGTCTTTGTTGCACTGCAGACACACACAAGACAAAGCTCCATCAAATGGCTCACAGCAGCTTTAAATCCTCCAATTATCATTCACACTGTGTATACATACAGTAAAAAAAAAACGGTTTGTTTTCACATCACTGGATTGCGACATCACAACTTTTACCGCAGCTAAGAAGCAATAACCCACACTCTAAATCAAAGCCATGCCTTTCACAGCTTTGCTTTGAATGACATAATTTAGAGCCATGAAATTTAGATTTTAGTGCTTGAACATTTGTGGCTTAAGGATAACATCCACTGAAAAACACATTTTTACTGTATCAGGGCTACTAATGACTCAATTTTAAGCTGTTGTGAATGGAAACACAAATTGCAGACATCATGGTCAAATAGTAGCATTTAATAAAGCAAGTATATTTTTGAGTCTGCATGGAGGACTCATTCAGTACATACGCAGTAGTTTGGCATCCTCAGTACAATGTTATCCATCAAAAAATATCCTTGCAACAACTTTGCACATTGCTAAGTGTTGTGCTTTGTGCGTCTGCTTCCTGAAATGCCAGTGATCTCCTACACATGAATGAAGTCCTCCACCAAATGGTTAATTCAAACATCTAGACAGCTTATGTGTTTGTAGTTCTTCATGTCCATGTACAACATTAATTACTTCTTGTTCTTTTGGTCATTAATAAAACAATGTAGTCATTTCTAACTCTCAAAAGAATTAAATGTCATTTAATAAACTTATTTAAATTTGATTAATCTCATGTTTAATAGATTATAAGCCCTTCAAGGATAGCTCAGTGGGAAAAAAATAATAATTTTGGCCTGATGATAACACATTCATCCGTCCATTATCTTTACTCGCTTCTTCCTTTCTGGGTCACTGGTGCCCATATCCAGCAGTCACTGTGCGAGAGGTGGGATACACCATGGACAGGTCTCCATTTCATCACAGGAACTCATAGAGACAATCAAGACAAACAACCATTCACTCTCTCACTCACATCTAGAAACAAATTAAAGTTACCAATCAGCCTAACATGCATGTTTTTGATCTGTGGGAGGAAACTGGAGTACCCGGAGAAAACCCATGCATGCAGAGAGAACATGCAAATTCTACCCAGAAGGGCCCCTGGCTGGGATTCGATCCAGCAACCTTCTCGCTGAGAGGCAACAGTTCTACCAACTGAACCACTGTGCCCCCCCTTATACATGTCTAAATAAAAATAATCAGGCCTGTACACATTTATTGTTTTTTGTAATTTATTCATTTTATTTTTGTGTCTAGCCTCCAAAATAATCAACACTGCTACTATAAGTCTCAAATAACAGATAACTGACTGTCTTTAAGCCTAATTTTAGATAAAAGTCCCAACTGGAGATGAAGTTGAACGTAAAAAGAAAACAAGCAACATGTCACCTTCAAATGATAGCTAATAACACACATTCTCATTTACCTTAGTGATGAATGAGACAATGAACTGGTTTTGGGCTGATCAATCTGTCCAGCTTGAGAAAAAGAAGGAGTGTGGTTCGAACTGTCATAAATGCACTGATTGTAAACGGTCTAAGAAGAGAGCAAAGTCAACACCATCAGAAAAACACAATCAGCGACACAAAAAAACCAACGTTAGTTACAGGCCTAATAAACCTGCTGCTTACTCCCATTAACACTTAACTTTACAAACATTCAGAAACTAAGTTCATACCGTGCTGACATCAAGTGGCAGGATGAATACGATGAGGAAGCAGAGGTACCAGGACAGAAGCGTCCCAAACAAAACCATTCGCTGCTGCTTCCACAAATCCCCATAGCGCTGAAGGAGGTACAGGGCCAGGAAGAAAACAACCACCACCACTACAGACAACGCCGCAGCACTCATGGTGATGATCAGGCGTGATGTCAGGAGGTCATGACGCCAACCAGCCTGGAAAAGATAAACACAGAGGAGCTCATTACAGCAGGATGAGGATCAGCAGGACAAAAAAAAGTTGTAAGCTCAACATAGTCTGACCTGAAGGGTTTTGGATCAAGCCTGAAGATGAGGACAGGACTATAAATAATCCAAAAAATATATATATTATACAATTAATTAATGAATGATTGATTAAGGCACTGACCATACAAGGAAAGACTACTTTTACCAACTACCTCAACAACATAAGCGAGCACTGTGGTTCACTTGATGCAAGTCACATGAAATACTAGAAAAAAAAACAGAACAAACGTTGTTTTTTTTTGTATGTTTAACAAATGAGCAAAATTACAATAATACACATTAACTCGATTTTATGCTCAACACAAGTCCATATTTTTATTGTTGGGGATACGTGTTCCAAGGTTCTGCTCACAAGCCACGCCTACTGACGTCACTCTGACTACCGACCGATACTAGCAAAACAGTTACTGTACCCTGTGTTGAGTTGAAGTTTGACTTTTAAAAACATTAGTCAATACAATAAAAAATAGCCAAGAACATTATCAAATTAATAAGTGAACAGAAACGATATTTTACCTCTGGCAGGCTGGAGACGGTTCACAACCAAACTTTCCGATTTCACCGTAGCTTCTGAACTACGCAACCATTGAAACTACGTTACGTAATACGTGTTCAAAGCACGTTACCCGGCGCTCCTAAGAATTGTGGGTATTGTAGGCGGACTTCAGCACGAAGCAAGAAATTAAATAGCTACTAACGGAAGTGCAGCCTTTACACACTTGAATTATTTCTTTTACACTACAATTATTTCTTTTTCACTCAAGGATGGATAAGGTTAAAAGTAACACATTATATGAGAGGGGAAATATTAGGCAACCAAATGTAAAAAGACCTAAAGTAAAACAAACAAACAAAAATAAATAAAAAGAAATGGATGCAGTCTTGGAGCATTTGTAGCAAATCTTGTCAATGTGAAAATATAAAAAACAAGGAAATTCTGAGGAGTCATAGCACAATTTAAATGCCACTTAAGTCCAACTGGCAGCTAGTCCTGTATATCCAGAAGGGTTAGAAGACCAAAAAAAAACAAAAAAACCCACAAGACTCACAAGCTGTTGCAACTTTGATACATTGTGAAGATTTATTGCAGCAAAATATGACATAAAACAATGTTTTATTTCTAGTGCAATCACACACACGTGCACATTCATTCTTGGGAAAAAATAGTGCTTTTAGATACTTTTCATTATTGATCAGGTTTTTTCACCTTGACTCTGATAAGTTGCCATACAATACAATTTTTTAAATATTACTTTATACATTTTAGTTGATTGTGTAAAAGAGTAAGTCAGTAAATTTTACCATGAATGAACAAAGCAATTTCCACAATCAATTCTTGGAGATGTATCACTCATATGACCCTGGTGTTATGAATAATTCACTTTATAGACAAAAGGCTTTAGCGGTAGTAATGTTTAAAAATAGCAGTAAAGAGGAGAAAATGTAAATAAACATCTTCAGTCCATTTCAGGTGTAAAGGAAAAGCCACATGTATGGGTCGTCAGCATATAGTGGACCCAGAAAGTTCAAGTAGACTGCAGGGTGCTCCAGCAAAAAATCCATATGAGCGCACACATCCAGGCACAGATGCTCAACCAGGTTGAGACAAAGAGTCCAGTCATCAAATGCTCTGAGTGCATCCAGTCCATCCATCCAAACGGCCCAAAAATGTCCAGAAATTCTGGCCAGTCTTCTAAAAGGTTGTCCGTTAGCTCCATGCGCTCCATGAAACCCAGTCTTCTGTGTTTCTTTGCTGATTTGTGTCTGTCTTCTTGTAGCTTTGTTGGCCTGATCCGAACAGTTACAGCCCAGATAAAACCAATTGACAGGTGCTTAGTGAAGCCATCTGTCAGCATGCAGCCTATCCACTGTCCTCAGATGGATTAAAGACAGTAGGTGCATGACTACTCAAGTCTACAAACGATGTTCTTGGTGTTCTCCTTTATAAATCTGTCTAAAAGAGACCAATACTTTGTGAATCATCCAAATTCTTTTCCCTTTTTCCTTTTTTTTTTTTTTTTGTATGTTTACACACTACTCACATAGACATAATCCAATTAAATTTCCAACTTAGTGAATCCTTGCTTAAGTTCGTAAACTATTAAAATATCACAAAATTGTGCACTGGCAGCCATTTGTATAATGTTTTTAAAGACCAACAACAACTGCATTTTTTGAGTGTCTTGCAGAGAAAAACATACCAGACTGAAAATAATCTCTTTGTGGTATTATATAGTCAGGTATATGAATTGCATGTAAGGACCGTTTGTAAATATTTTTTTTATTTTTTATTTTCCTGTACATTTTTTGCCAGCAGAGGGAGGTAGTGATTTTGTTTTTAACACATTTTTCACAGTTTATCAAGAAGTCTCATGGCATCAGCGATTATTTTAACTTATTTGTCCACAACTTCAAAAAACTACTGACAAAACTGCTCGGTATTTTTCTATTACTGTAATTTAGAAAAATATTTATATGTTAATATTTGAATTTATTTAGAAAAGCCATCCATCCATCCATTATCTTTACCCGCTTCTTCCATTTTGGGTCACCGGGGTCGCAGGTGCCCATGTCCAGCAATCACAGTGTGAGGGGCGGGGTACACCCTGGACGGGTCGCAAGTCCATCACAGGGACACATAGAGACAAATAACCATTCACTCTCAGCCTAACATGCATGTTTTTGGTCTGTAGGAGGAAACCGGAGTACCTGGAGAAAACCCACCCAGAGGGGCCCCTGGACTGGGGTTTGAGCCAGGGACCTGCTCGCTGAGAGGCAGCGGCTCTACCAGTTGCGCCACCGTGCTGTCCCTATTTAGAAAATATATTACGATAATAAATATAAATACAGTACAGCAAATCAAATTCACAATTCAGATTATTCGCCATTGTATGGAAACATACAGTGCTGACATTGTGATGACATTATTATTATTATTATTATTCAGATCCACAATATATAATCTATAATTGTCATTCATTAGAAAAAAGAGTCCCTACACGAATGCAACAAATGTCCAATAGCCTAAAAGTCAGTTTGGATACATTAAAAACTAGGGAATTCTTTTTGTGTGTGTGTGTTTGTGAGAAAATAAGTAAGCATTGAATAAAATGATGATCCTGTTTATGAGCATGACTTTGCAGAAATATTCAAACAACTGTAATTTAGGCCTAAAAGCATTTGAAACAAGAAACAGGAGTCATAGCATCATCTGGGAGTCAGCCTCCCCACCATCACAGACATCTACACCTCTAGACATAAGAAGAGGTCCACCTGCATCATGAAGGACCCCATTCACCCAGCACAAACTTTTTGCCCCACTCCCCTCAGGAAGGAGGTTGCGGAGCATTAAGTGTAGAACCACTAGACTGAGGAACAGCTTCTACCCTGAAGCTGTTAGACTCATGAGTCTCTAATCAGGATTATCACTGTGAAAAAAATCACTGTAACGCCATTTTGACTGTTATGTGCTGCTGATTATCCATGCTGCTGATCTCATCCTGCTGATTATTTCATGCTGCTGTATTCATTCATTTGTTCTCATCCACCCACAAAGACTTATGTTCGTGCCGCTGTTGTTCGGTGTATTGGATTAGCGTATATCTTAGATCTAGTGTATCGTTTGGCGTTCGTTTAGCATATATCTTAGTTTATATCTTAGATCCTTATGTACTGTTTCCTTTTACAATTCATATGTTTGCTATTGTTGGATGTTACTGGGACCCTGTGTACACAGTTTCATTCCACCACATGTACCACATGTGATGCGAATGACAATAAAGAACCTTGACCTTGATCTCCTGAAGGCAATGAACAATTAGACATTTAAATGGCTGTAACAGGATAAAGTAATCTTCAAAAATGGTGGAAGACAAAATATTAATGCTTATATTTTAAGATGTAGTACATTTTTCAAGCACTTTCTCCATTCAACATTTTCCGTGTTTGACCTGACAGAGATGGTATTATGAACCACGGGTTGTATGATTTGTGAAAACTGATTATGTGTGCCATACCTAAAAGACTGCAGTTGGGGTTGGGTACTTTTTGTATGTAAGGCCTGCACATCCCTGTTAGTTCACTTCATACATAGTCAAAACCCTGACTGAGGTGGCCAAAGATAGAGGAGACCTTCATTGAACCATGTGCTAATCAATTCAATTCAATAAAAAAAAATAAAATAAATAACTTTATCAATCCCAAAGAGAAATTCAATATATTGTCATAGCTCATCGTCCTGCTTCATTCAATAGTTGTTAGATGCTGATAGCTGTGGGTAGGAAGGATCTCTTGCCATCCATAGAATCTGGCCAAAGATACCGATTCGTTCACCTGGATCCAGCTTACTGTGGGTGGGCCTCTCGGTCCTCCTGGGCAGAGGGGCTGCCTGAATGCCTGACAGAATTCCTCCCTGAGCAATGGTCATTCCTCCCAGCAGTCTGTCGAGCTCCTCATCACAACCCGCCAGGTTGACGGGAATTCGTTCACAGCGCCTCCTTTTCAACTCATTTGGGATTTGGGGCTGTAGCTGAGGTATTTGAGCTTTTGAGATGTTAATCAGCAGCTCCTGTTGTTAAAAAAAACAAAACATTGTGTTGCCATGGTAATGCATCATAACAAATGCCCAAATGTAATAAGGTTTCAGTAAAAATCCTTCCAGCTGCACAGCATCCGATACCAGAGGAAATAATAATCTGAAAAAAGTTATTTACATCCAGAAAAAAAGAGGAATTAACGTTTTCAAAAGCTGTAACTCAGAATGAATGTAACAGAGCTACTCCAACATGCAGCCACCCCGAGCGGCGCAATTCTAGAACAATTATCAGTGTGCCAAGCAGAGCCTGAAGATGCTTCAAGAGTTGCTTAGTAACAAAAGCTTGATT